TTACACCCTTAGATTGATTGGATGGATCAAATAATGCAACCTGACATGTTGCTTCATAAACACTGCATGCACACCAGAGGATTTTCTTGTAATGGATTATGTTTCTGAGCCTTGCACACTGTGGAAAATGAAATTAGGCTCTTGTTGGTAAATGGATCGCTGTGGAGACGCGAAACAAAATGTTTCAGGAGATGAGAACACACCAATCCATTTTGTGGTTTTCTCTGTCACTATCTCACATACGGAGTCACAAGAGACGCCTTTAAGGTCTGCACGCACACACGTAAATACACACACTGCTGTCTGACCCTACTGTTATGTCCATTACCTGGGTGGCATAATGTAAACATATGTCTAATGGCTCTGACCGTTTGATGTTTTGTCCTTTTTTTCTTTGTGACCAGTCCAGCTGTGTTCACACACACACACACACACACACACACACACACACACACACACACACACCAAGTAATGTTTCTATGGTTACATTGTGATTTCTTAGTAAATATTCTATTTGGCGAGAGATAAACTTTATTGTATTTATCCCAGTGAATCTATAATTAAACGGGTAAACTAGTAGTAGCACATTCAATGTCAAGGAAAATAAAGTGTTATTATCAGGCGAGGGAGAATGATTAACTGGTTAGCAACAGTGTTCAGGACGATGGCCCCCTCCATGAGGCTACTACAGCTCAGCAGAACATCATTGTAACTTCTTCTGGGGAGAAAAACACTTAGAGAGAAAATAAAGTTAACAGCTGAAATAGCAGGAAATAATACAGTTAAAGAGCAGATTGTAGAAGAAAGCAGTAGAGTGTGGAAAGTGGTCAGTGTGTCCTCCAGCAGTCTAAGCCTATAGCAGCATAACTACAGAGATAACTCTAGATAACCTAGCCTTTTAGATGGAGGCATGTTGGAGGCAGGGCAAGGGAGAGTCGTCTTTACCGACTGTACACTCCACCTCCCTCTACTCCCCCACTTGTCCAGATCTAGACTAACATCAGATTTTAACCATAGGCCATATCAAATAAAAATGTTTTAAGCCTATTCTTAAATGTAGACAAGGTGTCTGCCTCACGGACTAAAGCTGGGAGTTGGTTCCACAAGAGAGGAGCCTGATAACTAAAAGATCTGCCTCCCATCCTATTTTCAGATATTCTGGGAACTACCAGATAACTGATCATTCAACCTAAGTTGTGCTCATGTTGCAGCTCTTCTAATCCCTCAGCAGGGATTAGAGGCGTTTGGCTTTATTACAAACAATCTTAGTCTGCTTCTCTATTTCTTTTAAAGTAATCTATTCAGATTCCCGCTCCCCATTTCCACACAACACAGCTGCTTTTCTTTTCATTCATGTCCATCTTTGATGTCCTGCCGTGATATTTCGTCCCACTTCTCTGAAACGCATCACACCATTAACAGATCTAGAAACATCACTCCTATCAGCATCTACCCACTAATGGATTTATATGTTTATGATGACTCCCGGAAGCAGTGTTGGTGCCTGTAAAGTAATCCCACAACTGTTTACACTCATATTTTGGCCATTATCTCCTTCATTATCAACAGCTTTAGGTGAGCTTGCACATGCGTCTGTGTTTAGGTTTCTGTGCATGTAAACACTTGTTGAACTGTGTTGTTATTTCATCTACACACTGTCAGTGTGCTAGCTTAGGTCATCATTTAGAAATGAAGAGCAACACTCAGCTACATGACGTGCTAAAGTTTGTGGTTAACTGTGTCAGCATAAAAGGAGATCCCAGATTTAATTAGGAACTCTAAAAGCCACGGCTCGCTTGTTTGCATGTCAATCTTCTTATCTCTTAGCTGGGAGAATATGTCATCCGAATTAAGAGAAACTGTGATATGATTTAGTCAGGCTTTAGAGCTTTACATGTAAAATTACAATTTTGAACATTTTCTGTATGAAGCTATAGTGCATTGATATTCTCATGAGACCAGCCCGTCTTCTTATTCTTTGGCTGCTTGTGTATTTCTTCCTCTGGAACTCTTTTCTTTTATTATTATGCTGGGGAAAGCCAGACATATGTGACTGCATATGTGCCTTTTGTTGGAAAAAGCAAGAAAAAAGAACACTGCTTTATTTAAAAACACTCATATTTTGAAATTGCTCCCAGAAAGAGAAGGTTTAAAAGCCCGTGAAGTGTTATTTTTACTGAGAACAAGGGATCTGAAACTAATGTTGTGGGTTTTAACTAAACATTTAAATTAGGTATTGGCTCAGTTATGATGGCAGAAAAGGGATGTTGCTGTACACCACCAACTCTTTGTTTTGTCCTCTGCATCAGAGCTTCTTTATTAGCATTTAAGAAAATTGTCTATGTTTTTGTTTTGCTGGCATTATTGCTAAATTACCATAATGTTTAATTATGATATCCTGTAGCCGCCACCATGAGGATTATAACCATGGTAGTCTCACACTTCCTTCCTAATGTATGTCAATGACATACCGTGGGCAAAAGGTTTTAGCAATTACCCTGAAATAAGAAAGGCATGAAGTAGGGATGTCCCATTCCAATATCGATATCGGAAGTATTTCAATAGCGGCCCAAAAACTGTGTATCGGATTACATCGGACGGCATCCGAAATCTCCGATATAAGCAGTCTGTTAAGGTTCATATTATTGCAACCAATGGTTAAGAAAAAATCGTCATTTTTTCATACTGATTGAGTAATATCATTTGACCAAACCTTCCATACATTCCACAAAGCTGCAATATCGGTGCCTTATCGGAAGTGAAAAAGTTGTATCTGGACATCCCTAGGCCATGAAGTTTCATTTGAGTCATGTAGTGTCAGCGGAATTACCATGACCACTTCCTGTGAAGGTCATCTTTATTAAATCTAACCAAAGCATTTCGTATTTGTATGTTTAAACATTTGTTGTTCTTCAAAAATAACGAGTTCATTTTTAAAGTGCATCAAGTCTCCATGATTTGTGGAGCCATTCCTTGTACAAGCTGTGCTCTACGTGGAAACGTATTCTGGGCTGACCAGAACACGCATGCTAGTCCAGACGAGCTGGCTGCAGTCACTCCATCTCTGCACATCATACTATTTTTGAGGCCTTGCATCTATTTATTTTGCTATGTCCGCACCTGTGATTTGGCCTAAACATGCATTATGTCATGGAAAATGGTTTCAGTTCCCTGCTTTTAATTATAACACAATGTCATTTCATTTCAGTGGTTAAACGTACGCTAAAGTAGGCAAATAAACACAGCATGCTGGCTTACACATGTGATAGTTCAAGCATACACATGGGAGTAAAGCTATAAACGCTGGTCAGAGGTTATTAATGTCTTTGGTGTGGGACATCTGACCCTTGGGCCTCTATCCAGCGAGTGTGATGCTAACCATTAGCATTTCTTGACACGGCCAAGATCACAAAACTATTCATGATAATATGACTTTGCAGTGTAAAACAACACCATCCTTTAATGTGATTACAGTTTTAAATCCATTGCACAAGTTTTTTTTTATATATATATACATATATATTAAAACTTTGATTTTCCATTTGTTTGGTCCATCAAATCAAACATTTACCAACTGAAAGGTCCTGTCTTAAGTTACTTTACCTTTTGGTGACCTGTTGATTGTGTGAGTACTTCTTTTGTTCTTTGGCTTAGGCGGCCATATTTTACATTTGATGCAGAAAGTGAGGTCTGTGAAAGACCCCAATGTCAGGAAGTTTTTTAATATGATGTCAGGCTGTAGCTGGTGGGTGGGCGTTCTTCCACATTAAATCCATAATATCAGGTAACCACCAGAGACTTGGGTTACACCGTTAAATTTCCCGAGTCAAATTTCCTTTCTTGGGAACATAAATGTGAAAACTCATTGTGCCTGAATATGAGTTAACTCTTTAAATACAGTTCTGATTGGGTTGTTTTATTTGCACTTATTTATCACTATCACCATTAGAGGTGAACCTCTTACAGGCTCAAAAACATTGTGTCAGTATACCACTGTGAGAACTTGGTAAGCTGCATAAAATACACCAACAGGCTTTAATCTCTACGGTTTTCTTTTCCTCCTTAAAGTCCTTCTTAGAAACCAATTCCCTGACAAGCCCTAACATCTGTAATTCAAGGTAGATTTTCTCTGAAAATAAAACATTTATTTTAGCCTTTTGGAGCTGATCTTATCTTATCCATCCTATATACCATTCCAGTTTTGAATTACAACAATAAAGGTTTAGGCTGTTAAACATACAGCCCAGTGTGCTGACAGCCAAGCTCTTATGTTCAGGGTTGGTGTTGTGAAGCCGTGGACATGCATCAGGGCGAGTTTAAGAACAGGAGTGTGTTTGATGAGGGATTAAGGTACATGAACCATGAGTTTAAGGTCAGTTGGAATGGGTGCAATAAACTTAAAAAAAACTTGCAAGAAAGCTTGGGGATTAGTTGATTTTTGATATTCTATGGAGACATGGTGTTGGAAAAGAACATAACCTGTAATGTCTGAAACTGAGAAATAGTAATCTGAAGACAAACAGAGAATCATTTTCACTTGTGTGTATATTTGCTCTGCGTATAAAATGAAAGCTCACAACGTTATGATGTTAGGTTTTAGTGGTTTAAAGGGTTTGGTTTGGGTGGGCAGGATGAATAAGTTGTTTGAGATGTATCTAAGAAAGAAGCTTAAATGTCAACTGTCTGATTTGCTACATATGACCAACTTACTAAAGCCCTATGGAGTTGGGCCCACAGTGTTCCTGAAGCTGACCTGCAAGAACATTGAATTCCAGAATAAAGCTGAGTAAATTACACCAACAAGTTGTTGGAATTGTAGTCACTTTATTTTAGACATGCACATGGATCACGATAAAAGTCAACTTAGAAGTGACACAGTGCAACAGCTATTGTTGTACAGTTGTCATGCTGCCATTCAGGGAGTCCTCCAGGCTTGTCTGAATGAAGTGATTGAAGAGCTGTGAATGTTTACTCACCAGGCTTGTGTTGTGTTGTCCCAGCTGGTCTGTAGGAGAGTGGGGGTCGTGCAGCCGTAGCTGCGGAGGAGGGGAGCAGGCTCGTGTAGTCCAGTGTGTCCAGAAAACCAGTCAGAGCAATGCAGACGTCCTGGCCAACTCTCACTGTGCCCAGTTAGCCCCAGTTAGAAAGCAGATCTGCAATACACACAACTGCCCACCAGTTTGGACATCTGGGCCATGGTCACAGGTAAAGCTATGTATACGCTGTGTAAAACAAACCTCTTTATTTTTGGGAGTAACGGTATTCAAATAAAAAATGTAATTAAGTAAAACAATGTATGTTTGGATTTGTAGAATATGGATAGTTTATATTGTTTCTATGTTTTGGACAGTGTTCACGTAAGTGTGGCAATGGTTTGAAGGAAAGAACAGTTCTGTGTACAAGCAACAACACGGGTGCTCAGATCCGCACGTTGCCAGACAGCGAGTGTGCAGGCCTGCAGAAACCTGCCACTCAAGAATCCTGCTTCCTCAAACGCTGCCAGAAACAACGCAAGGTTCAGTGGTTTGTCTCCACGTGGCAAGAGGTAATTCAGCTGCGATGATGGAGACTGACATAGATTGTGACATCAAATGAAGCAGAATTTGTGCAAGATGAGTGTTTGGTTTTGGCGTTCATACAGCCGATTTCTCTCCATGTTGTGTTTTTTTTATGTTCAGTGTTCAGCAACATGTGGTCGTGGCTATCAAGCACGCTTCATCAAGTGTGCAGAGAAGGTATGTAATCCAAGCCTGTCCCACATACACTGTAGTGTATTACTGTGAAGTCTTCAAGTGTTGCTTGAACCTTTGACTGAATTTCTGACTTTGATACTAAAGGACACTGCAGGGAAATACAGAGAACTCGCTGCCAAGAAGTGCTACCATGTTCCCAAACCCACAGTTGATCTCCAGAGGCAATGCATGCTGGCCGAGTGTCCCACTCGCACAACTCCACCAGTCCATCGATGGAGGACACCCCCTCGCTCCTATCCGCCTCAGCCGCTCCCTCACCCTCCACCTTCACCAGAGTGGCTATCATCTCCTTGGTCTCAGGTAAGTTCAAATAAAGTGGGACTCAACTGCTGACCAGTCATAGGAGTGCATCAACTCTTGGTGCTTGAATGAGGGCACTGAAAGTTTTACAAGGGATGAGTTTTAAAGTGTTCATTGAGACAAGTTTTCTTTGTACAGTGCTCAGTGACGTGTGGAGGAGGAGTGCAGGTCAGGACAACCCGATGTCAGCTTCAAGGAAAACCTTCCACAGGCTGTGCCCTCTATCTTAAACCTCCAACGTCTCAGGCCTGCAACACCAACTTCTGCCCACAACCAGAAAAGAAAGGTGCTGAGCATCTTTTACGTTACCTTTTTAAGACTCCTCCACTCTGGTTTAAAGCAACACTTAAAAGGTTTCCCACTTCTACCTCCCATGGGTTGGAAGTGGATTACAACTTCTGTAAACAACCCTGCCACAGTGTGCTGTAGCTGGCTCTAACAGTGGGTTATTGCTAACACAAGCCTACTGATACTTCATAAGCCTGAAAGTAAAAAGATCCACACTGTTGGACAAAAAAAACTATTAATTACAAGTCCAATAGCAACAAAGCTAGGTCACCATCAGAATGTGAATTCATAGCCTTCTTTTAGCTCCGTCCAACGAGTGTAGGCTGTGAAACCCCACTGAAACCAGTCTGAAAGTAACAGCTCAAAGGAGTGGTGGACTCGTTTAAGCAATACATTTACAGTGGTCTCTAGTAGGAATGAATGCCTTGAAAGTCAGTCTGAACGTGGGTTTTTATCTAAAAAAAACACAAGCCTTGAGGAGCTTCTGCCATGTGGTGAAGTTGCTGATGCTAACGGTTAGCTTAAACTCGCCGAGATGTTCTCTGTTGATTCCCGGACGTTAAAACAACAGCCTTCCTCGTCGTGAGTCAAGATCAGTGAGTTCATGAAAGCTAGTTCACAGTGTGCTGCAGATGTGTGAGGATTTTCATATCCTAGCATTTCACCATCTAGTATCTATCAGAAGCTAATACAGATAGGTATGGGAGACTAGTTTTATCTTCAGCCTGCATGAAAAAGCCAGACTGATCAATTATAATCAGAAAAAACATTTTAAAAATGGTTTTTCAGTCAACCACACATTTAAAGTGTTAAAAACTATTTAGTGTAGCTTTAGGATTGTGCTATACTCTATATGACCTATATCACACAATAGCTGGCAAATTTAGAAAAACCCTTTTTGATGAAGGAACTCAATCTTTAACAATTTCCTAAGATGTTCTACTGCAACTTCACCACCTTCTATATATCACGGTCTTGTTTCCATAGCAATGTTATCATGCAAGTCCACAATCACACCAAACCCTAGACCTTGCCCTGGCATACCGGGGGTGCATCAGGGTGCAGCTACACACTAGAAAATCACACCACCACCATGCTTGTGGGTTTGTAGCCAAAACATAAAGCCAGCATTTTTTGTCCTACTTCAAATGTTTGTCAACCAAACCACGTGGATTGGGTTTTTATGACTGTTGTACCACCGATGCTCTACTGAGGCCATGCTTCCAAAATGATAAGCCACCACAGTTTTGCTATGGAAGAATTATGCATATGTAAAGTTATTGTAAACCGTTCATGCTTTACCACTTTACCTAGGCAACCTGCAGCGTTCTCATTTTGAGCTGTAACCTTTAAAAAACATCCTTGTGCTGACTGACCTTCATGAAGAAGTCTTTATTGCGGGTTTTTAAAGAAGACCCAAACGTACAATTAGAGAGAGCAAGCTTTCGTAAATAATTACATTTTCTTTCTTGTTTTCCCCCACAGACATTGCTTGTAGAGATTACTTCAGCTGGTGCTATCTGGTGCCCCAGCATGGAGTATGCAACCACAAGTTCTACGGCAAGCAGTGCTGCCACTCCTGTTTGAATTCAAACCTATAATAACAGAAACTGACTGTGATATAGGCTGTGCAAATGTAGCTAAGATTGTCAAAAGACTATTTTTTATGTCCATGCTTGAAAAGAAATGTTTTCATTCTAAGCATGAGGCAAGCACTGAAAAAAGTACATTTCTAGATGTGCAGGAGTGTTGCAGTGTCCTTTCTTCTCCCTGCGATGCTGGAAGTCTGGAAACAAGAATCTGATAAGATGGAAGAAACAAGATGGAGGAAAGCAAAAGAATAAATAAAAAAACAAGAAGAAAATGATGGAAAGGAAGGAAAAATGCAAGCTTGATTAAAATTATGGGACTGGTATGTCCAAACAGCAACTATTAATGTCCGAACAGCTGTGGATGCTATGCAACATGTGTTATTCTCAGATCTTTGCTGTTTCATAGGAAATGTGAAGTCTGGTTATGAAAAGGGATGTTTTCAAAAAGTAATCTAAAACTTGTAAAGCTGCCCTAAACTTTAAATGGGAACCAAAATTAACCACTCAAGCTTGACGTCATGAAGTGCAGCATAATAGCAGAATAGTAAGAAAAATGGAACGCTACCCAACGTGAGGTGCTACAACTCGTCACTTTGTTTTTGCAGTGTGATATTCTAAAGATTCAGGAATGAACTGTGTTACCTGTGTACAGTTTTGTGTGTTTTATTTATTTGCTTTGCATTACTACGTTGCAGGAAGACTATTAATAAGCATCCTGAATATTTTCTTTTTTAAGTGCCTAAAGTCCTAAACTTGAGTATTTTGTATCACGTTTATTTGAATGAAAAAGCAGCTGTTACAGACATTTTTACTCCTAACCACAGGTGCACGTTGTTTAAAATCACTGGTTAGGACATTTTATTGACATTTATGTGGACTAAAGCAGAGTTTCAGAGCACTGACAGGTGATGATTGATTTTAGAATAAGATTTTATTTTAGCGATATAAACGAAACATAAACACATACAGTATGTGTCATAAAAGCTGTAGTTGACATGATTCTCTTGGGTTTTAGATGTGTTTATCTGGGCAAGGTGCTGTCATTGTGCCCTGATGGCACATTTGCCTTTCCACATCATCCTCATTGTTGTTCAACACTTTTAGCTTCACTCTTGTTTTGTGAAAGTAGTTTTAATCCTTGAAAATGCAGATTGGGGGTTTAACAGCCATTACAGCAGTTTGTAAATTTAAACATGCCCTAACTCTAGTCTTTTTCTCTGTATCGATCATTTTTGAAACTCACAAGGTAATTGCTTTATTCTGTTGGATGTTAAATGCATTAAACCCTCCATGATATTATTCTGGAAGAAATCCTCACACAATAAACCAGGGTTGCTACAAATGACATATTTTATGTTGTAAAGGTTTCATGTAAATAACTATCCATCCATAAATCCATTATCTTATCTGGGGTCGGGTCACGGGGGCAGCAGCCTAAGCGGGATGGCCCAGACTTTCCTCTCCCCAACCACTTGGGCCAGCTCCTCCGGAGAAATCCTAAGGTGTTCCCTGGCCAGCTGAGAGACATTGTCCCTCCAGCGTGTCCTGGGTCTTCCTCTAGGCCTTCTCCCGGTTGGAAAACCTCACCAGGAAGGCATCCTCACTAGATTCCTGAGCCACCTCAACTGGTTCCTTGAGGTGGAGGTGCTCAGTCTACTTCAAGCTCCTCCTGGATGACCAAGCTTCTCATCCTATATCTTAGGGAGAGCCCAGCCACCCTGTGGAAAAAACTAATTTCGGTCGCTTGTTTCCCCAATCTCGTTCTTTCAGTCACTACATGAAGCTCGTTACCATAGGTGAGGGTTGCTCTGACACCTGTTGATCTCGCTCACTCCTCCACTAGGTGCAGGATCTCATCCCTGACCCGGAGAAGGCATTCTACCCTTTTCCAACTTAAGACCATGGTCTCAGATTTAGAGAAGCTGATTCTCATCCCAGCTCCAGTGAGAGCTAGAGATCGTGTTCTGAGGAAGTCAACAGGACCATATAATCTGCAAAAAGCAGAGATCTGATCCTTAGATCACCAAAAAGGGTCCCCTCAACACCTTGGCTGCCCCTAGAAATCCTGTCCACAAAAGTTATGAACACAATCGGTGACAAAGGGCAGCCTTGGTGGAGTCCAGCTTACTGTCGATAATGTGGACCAAGCTCTGACACCGGTCATACAGGGACATAACAGCTCTTATCAGAGGGCCTGGTACCCCATTCTCCTGAAGTACCCAAGGGTACAGAACTTGTCCAGTCCACGAAAGTCACATGGCTCCTCCTGAGTATACAATCTGTCTGACCCTCCACTCCAGAACCCCTAAATAGACTTTACCAGGGAGGCTCAGGAGTGGATCCCCATGTATTTGGATTGCATCCTGCAGTTCCTTTTTAAATAGAGGGACAACCACCCCCAATCTGCCAATCCAGTAGAACTGCTCCCAATGTCCACGCAATATTGCAGAGCCACATCGACCAGCACAACCCTACAACATCTAGAGTCTTAAGGAACGCTGGGTGGATCTCATCTACCTCGGAGCTTTGCAACCAAGGAGCTTTTTGACCACGTCAGTGACCTCAGTACCAGAGATTGGAGAGCCCACCCCAAAGTCCTCGGACTCTGCTTCCTCACTGGAAGATGTGCCGGTGGGACAATCCATGACAAGCATAGAAGTCCAATGACAAATCATTGCTCAAATTCAGATCAGGGGGACCCCAATATACCGCTCCAGGTCTCACTGTAGTTGCCCACATTAGCATTAAAGTCCCCCAGCACAACAAGGGAGTCACCAGAAGGAACGTTCTCCAGCACCCCCTCCAAAGACTCCAAAAAAGGGTGGGTAGTCTGAACTGTAGTGTCGTGCATAAGCATAGACAACAGTCAGGACCCGTTCCCCCGACACTTCTGCCGGAACTGGAAACCCGCATTTCAATAGGAAACAAGATAGCGCTATGTCCAAATGTCTTTTGCTGTTCGTGAATTCAAATGGTGTTTTTCTTTATGGGACTCTGGTAGTTTGTCCTAAAGTAGAAGAGATAGCAGCCGGCTGTTTTTCCCTCTCTGATAATAAAAGCAACAATCCTCTCACACCAGTGGTGTTCTGCTGCTAAATACGTGAATGTGTAATGAGTGATGGACCCAGGGAAGTGCAGAGGTTCAGCGAGACCGACAACGGATGGTCCAATTGTTGCTTTCGCTCTGAGCCATGTTATTAACTCATTCTCTTGCATTTGTCTTTGGACAAATGCAAGAGAATGTTTTTTATCTCCACATTACAGCTATGATACAAAGTGAAGCATGAAAATGTTAAGCTCTTTTGTTTTCCAGATTTACTTTAAAGTTTGGAGTATTTGAACATTGGATCATTTTCCTCTTGTGTGCCTCAGATCCCTCTCTCAAGTTGCAGAGCAGAATTTGGATATTTGAAACTACAGCTCAATCAATCGTTAAATCAATCAAAGGAACAAAGTAGATAAGGAAGTTCTGAAAAAGGTTGCAACTTTTTAGAAATCACATAAAGGAACCGCTAAACAGTTAGTTTTAACTTTGACGATAGCTTGCATGACTGTTGTAATGCAGGAAAAAGTTAACAGAAATTCAATGAAGCAAGCATTAGTCAGGCGGAGGCACATATTGACATTTTTAGGATTATGTACTCTAATGTTAAAATACAAGTTTGAGGGTGCCGGAGAAGTAAACTCATAGCCCCACTCTGACTTTGGCCATGCTAAAGTGGTATTACAATTTCATCTTCTTTAGTATCTCATTACCAGTCAAGGAGACGTAGAGGCCCAAAGCAAAATAACTTGTCAAAATCCTGAGGGCATGGATGAGGGTGAATACGCCAAGAGGAGAAATTCACAGTGAGAAAAAACATTTTTATCTTTCTCGATCATTATTTAGCAATGAAATCATAGTTGTCCAAGATCCTCAACTTGTAAATGTCTGCAAGATTTTCCAAGATTTTTAATGCCAGTTTGAAGACAAAAGCACTGCTCGTGTAATCAGATTACTCTGTCACCCAGCCCCTGCAGAAACACACACACACTTTCCTGGTATCATTTACATGGTGCAACCCTTATAGGAAAACCAAAGAGTATGAGCTGTACTGCACTGTCTACAGAACATGTTGTAATGGAAAAGTGTTATTAGTTTCCAAATGCAGACATCCTGGGCAAATTAGAAGACAGTGTTTTAGTGAATGTCCAAAACTAAACTTCCCCACATCATAATTGGGAAAAGTTATGGAAAACTGATAATAGTCTTTTTTTAGCCTAACAGAAGAAAAACTGGCCACAGAAGAAGAAAGACACTAAGTGTCTAAAACATTTAAGAGGTAGTGATCAGACAAAGGACTTCCTGTAGAAAAGAACGGTGGCAGATAGAAATCTGGCCACGTCCAAAATTGTTGCTTTTCTCTTGTCTCGTAACACAACAGATAATCTATGAGGGGCAGATGGAAAAAGGGGAGGCTTACACAGCACTTACCTTTCCAACTATAAAGGAGCTAGGCTATCTCTCACTGCATCTGTTTGGAGAAAGGTGGTTTTTTAGCCTCAAGGTGACACCAGCAAAGGTTCATCTGAAGTTACAGGCCTATTATCATTCCATCAGGAAGATGCACCTACAAACGTTCCACGCAGCTGCTGGGATCAAAACCTTACGCCACAGAAATGAGCACGCTGCAGCAAAAGAACTGACTAAAGGATTTTTTGATTGCTTTAAAATTTGCTCTATGTTAAAAATATTTTAATTGCAAAAGTGGGCATAATTGGCTTATTTGAGTCATTTTGTTAAAATTAAAGTTTGGTGTAACGTCTAAGTTTGTTCATGATCTCAGTATTGCTCATATTTCATATTTAATGTGAGCTCAAGCACAACTCATAGCTTTGGGTGTTTTTGTAACACTGATAACAATATTTATGAATGGGCTGCTGCAGAGAATGTCTGGACTTGAACCGAACAAAGCCAAGGATCAAGTGTAGACTGGTTCCACAACATTTGTAAAAGGGTAAATGAATGCTATTTATAGTCATCATTAACCAAATGTTACTATTTGTGTGTGACAATTGCCTACAATTTACGTTTGCATCTCAAAATGTACATTTTAGGTCTTCCTTTTCAGAAATAGGACTGTGTTCATAAGTGCCTGTGTGTGGGTTAGAAAGCCTAAAGTAGTAGTACCAGAGGTGTTACAACACTGCCCCCTATAGTTAGTGCATAGATTTTCATTTCAACCCATGGTACATTAGATGAAATAATTGTGGACAGGTCGCCAGATTCATTTATGAAATGCAGAACGCTTTCTGGAATAAAAAAAAATACTTGTAAATTAAAAAAAAATGTTCCCTGACCGGGAATCGAACCCGGGCCGCGGCGGTGAGAGCGCCGAATCCTAACCACTAGACCACCAGGGAAGCTGTACGCACGCCGGTTAAAGTTTGACTACTTATATAATTTGTGGTGAGGGCGGGCTCAATGCAGCCACATGTTGCAGAAGTGACGGACATAAAAAATAATTGCCAAGTGAACTACACCGAACTCTGGCTTTGCAAAGTGAAAAATAATATATTTATTTAGTCTGGCTTGAAGAAACTATTTTTGGCCGCATCTCAAGATAACAATCATATGAACTACTCAAATTCGTTAATACAAACAAAAAACAAGAAAAACTGAAATGCTGTTTTACTGTTTGTTTGTTTGCTTTTTGCTTGTTTTATCTAGTTGAAGTTTTAATTTAATTACTTTTAATTGGTCGTTTGAGTTAATTGATAGACAGAAACTTTGCATATAAGGAATTTATGTTAGGATAATTTAGAATCTGGCTTTGAAAGTAAAGATGTTTCGCCCACTAGCGGATCAAAGCTGTTACTACAGCAATAACATTATGCTAAACAAGACAGAACTCATTTGCACTTCCTGTATGTTTCTTCAAAATAAAGCATTCCACTTAAACGTTACTACGGTTTTTATATTAGCAGTAACCACATAGTTAGTCTAAATAACAGGAAAGCCAAATCGTCTTCACTAATACAAACTACTTAGTTACTAATACACAATAAATGTATTTTAATTATTTCCGTTCAACATCAGGCACGTGCAGAGGGATGGGGGGGGGGGGGACTTGAGCACCTGCTTCTTTTGTCCGAAGTGCCCAAAGTGCCCTTTTTTCGGTCATCCGTCAGATTTTACCGTCCCAAACTGTCATGCCTGGACACAGGTTAGGCACTAGGACTCTCAGGGACATGGTCAAACACCTTCTCCAAATCCACAAAACACATGTAGACTGATTGGGCAAATTCCCATGCACCCTCCAGGATCTCCCAAAGGATATAGAGCTAGGCCAGGACGAAAACCACATTGCTCCTCCTGAATCTGAGGTTCAACAATCCGACGGACCCTCCTCTCCAGAACCCCTGAATAGACCTTACCAGGAAGGCTCAGGAGTGTGAGACCCCGTAGCTGGAACACACCCTGCGGTCCCCCTTTTTAAATAAGGGAACCACCACCCCGGTCTGCCAGTCCAGTGGGACTGCCCCCGATGTCCATGCGATATTGCAGAGCCGCATCAGCCAACACAGCCCCACAACATCCAGAGCCTTAAGGAACTCTGGGCGGATCTCATCCACCCCTGGAGCCTTGCCACAGAGGAGCTTTTTAACCACCTCAGTGACCTCAGCACCAGAGATTTGAGGCCAACCCAAAGTCCCCAGACTCTGCTTCCTCACTGGAAGACGTGTCGGTGGGATTGAGGCCTTCGAAGTATTCTGCCCACTGATCCACAATGTCCTGAGTAGAGGTCAGCAGCACACCTTCCCCACTATAGATGGTGTTGGTAGCACACTGCTTTCCCCCCCTGAGGCACTGGATGGTGGACCAGAATCTCCTCGAAGCCGTATGGAAGTCTTGCTCCATGATCTCACCGAACTCCTCCCATGCCCGGGTTTTTGCCTCGGCGACAACCCGAGCCGCGTTCCGCTTGGACTGCCGGTACCCGTCAGCTGCCTCTGGAGCCCCACAGGCCAAAAAGACCTGATAGGACTCTTTCTTCAGCTTGACAGTATCCCTAACCGCCGGTGTCCATCAGCGGGTTTGGGGGTTGCCACCACGACAGACACCGACGATCCTAGGACCACATCTCCGGTTGGCCACCTCAGCGATGGAGGCATGGAACAGGGTCCATTCAGACTCAAAGTCCCCCAACTCCCCCGGAACATTTTGGAAGTTCTGTCGGAGGTAGGAATTGAAGCTCCTTCTGACAGGAGACTCTGCCAGACGTTCCCAGCAGACCCTCGTGATACGTTTGGGCCTGCCTGGTCTGACCGGCATCCTCCCTCACCATCTGAGCCAACTCACCACCAGGTAGTGGTCAGTTGACAGCTCTGTCCCTCTCTTCACCCGAGTGTCCAAGACATGCGGCTGCAGGTCAGATGAAACAACAACAAAGTCGATCATCGAGCTGCGGCCTAAGGTATCCTGGTGCCAAGAGCACATATGGACACCTTTATGTCTGAACATGGTGTTCATTATGGACAATCCATGACTGGCACAGAAGTCCAATAACAAAACACCACTTAAATTCAGATCAAGGGGGCCGTTCCTCCCAACCACACCTCTCCAGATCTCACTGTCGTTGCCCACGTGAGCGTTCAGTCCCCCAGCAGAGCGAGGGAGTCACCGGAAGGAGCGCTTTCCAGTACCCCCTCCAAGGTCTCCAAAAAGGGTGGGTGGTCGGAACTGTAGTTTGGTGCATGAGCACAGACCACAGTCAGAACCCGTCCCCCCACACGTAGGCGGTTGGGAGGCTAGCCTCTTATTCACTGGGATAAGCCCCAACGTACAGCCACCAAGATGGGGGGCAACTAGTATGCCCACCCCTGCTCGGCACCTCTCAGTGGGAGCAATTCCAGAGTGGTAGAAAGTCCAACCCCTCTCAAGGAAACTGGTTCCAGAGCCAGAACCATGCTTTGAGGTGAGTCCGACTATATCTAGTCGGAACCTCTCAGCCTCACACACCAACTCAGGCTCCTTCTCCACCAGAGAGGTGACATTCCATGTTCCAAGAGCCAGCTTCTGTAGCCGAGGATCA